GAGATGTTTTCGAAGCAACTCCCACTGTCTCTGCAGGTGTCCCAACTCCCACTGTCTCTACTGTAGTGTCAATTTTAGAACGTTTGTTTCGTGGCTCATCATTGCCAGAAATTTCTAGTGGACGTTTGGAACCACTTAGTTCCTTTATTTCGCACAATTCGTCGTCATTTAAAACGGTATCATTAGTTTCAAACGCATTACGAATGAACTCTTGTGATGATACAGGGTCGAATAGAATGTCCCTTGCGACGAAGTAGCGATCTCGTTCAATATGAAGAAGACGGTAACCCTTTCAAAAATATGTACTGTAGAAATCTAATTGGTTTGGGGGCAACTCATTACTTGGTTTTAATAAACTTATATCCGGTAGCTGATATCGAACTCGGGGACAATTGCAATGGCTGATACCCTTGTTTTGCATACACTTTCAGTCTGAGGATACCTCCGCGATTTAATCGTGGTGCAATGGATAAACTGGTGAAATGCTGGATGACTGTAGCAGGTAGCAATTTCAGTGTGAGGGGAGAAGGATTAGCATGGGGCCCGAAAGGGCAGTGCGCTTTTTTAGAACATTGAATTTGTTTCTTTAATTCATTTTATTACATATATTCAAGATGTGTAGTATAAAATGTACATCGAAGAAAACATGTACAAATTATTAATGGAATTCTAGCTCATCTAGGTACTCTACATAAGCTTCCCACATTGTGTTCGCAATGGCCTCCCTCCACTTTTCTTGTGGGTGGTTCATTGTTTGGAGTGCGTCTTAATGTAAATCAAAGTCGTCATCGTGGTTCGACCGCACCACAAGTCCGAAATGTCATCCACATGCGATGGACTGCAGGCAATATACAAATTGTGTAATGCAGCGTAAGCATGAATAACATCAATCGAGTATTCAAGCTGCAACCTCAAGTTGCTTGAGAGTACTTCCACTTGATCTTCAGCATGCCAAACACACGTTCCACGACAATGCGGGCCTTGGAGTGCCTGTAGTTGAAACATTCCTTGGCAGTCTTGGGTCGGCCATCCGTATTCGCTGCCCACTCGCGAGATGATAACGTTGTGTTTCTGTACGGCGTCAGCAGCACCTTGGACAAACGGTCCCCAGCATCACCAAGGTATAATAAGTAACCGCTTGGGACGCTTCCTTCAAACTCCGTCTGGCTGTATATATAGCTGTCAGATGAGCAGCCTTCACCACCCGCAAAGACAACCACGAACCTTCCCAACTCGTCGACGACACCCAATACGTTCGTCGACGTGTGGCCCTCGCGATTTCGGAATCGATCTTGCACCTCCGCAGACACCGCGATGGGGACGTGGGTACCATCCAAAGCACCAAGACACTTGTTGAAGGTTGGATGCTCTTGACGAAATGCTTCACAGCTGGAGCGCACGCGGTTGCGGTCGGTTCATGCGGACCCGAACCATAGAATCCGCCGTCAACCAAGCCTTTGGTGATTGCGCGCACACCAAGTTGTCGATAGTAGGCCAACGTAACGTGGTTGTGGTCTTGGAACAACATCTGCTCTTGACTCCGCACCGACACGCTGCTTGCGAGCCATTGTATTGTAACCAGCAGGACAAGCCGTGTATCAAAAGTCGCCGGCAGGTGGGGCTTCGAAAGCTGAAGAATCAACGCGACGGCATCCTTTGACACCCGGAACCGCTCGAGGTACAGCACGTCACCCCCGTGCGGGAGCTCTTCTTGAACGTCGAGGAAATCCATGTACCCGTGTACTGGCCGAATGAACTTTTGTTGCGGCTGTTGGACAAACTTCGTATCCTCAACTTCCATCGTGCATGCCGCGATAACTGTTGACATAGCATGTAGCATGATTCCGTCTTAGTCGTCCATTCTTTTTGTGACACCATTCACTGTATAAATAGGTTCTTCCTACGACGATGGATTTTCCTCCACATGGAAAATCGGCCAAAAATATCCAGCTCCAGACATGGATATTTTTGGCGGATATTTGGCTTCGGAATATCTGGGATATTGAAATATGGTGTGTTCAGTGGACCTTCGAAATATCCGGATATATCCACTAAAATATCCGCATATGGCCGAAATGTGCGCATATTTGCTGTCATTGAACATGCCCTAAGAGCATTCCCATCGGCTGATGTAGAAATGTAAAAATCTTCAAAGTAAGGTAGTGCATCAATCTTTCGAACGGCATGAACTTCCGAACGATTCGAGTTTTATCCAATCAGATTACTCTAATTTGGCGTAAACATCACTGATTGGTAGTGATAATATTCATGGCAGTAATTATATACTTGGAGTTCAAACGAAAACCCAACCAATTATAATCACACCAAACTAAATTAATTCGAAGTTATGATTAGCAGCATATACTTGACTGTGGGTACGGGCGTCGAGCTCGTGGATGTTGCCTCGGTCGAAGGCGTTCGCCATCGCTTCGACGTTTGTTGACCTTTCCAAACCAACGGTGAGCAGTAAGACCCCCAATTGGTTCAAAATTGATTTCGTACCGTGGTGTGTGGCCGATGTCGTTGCCTCGTATGTTCTCTCGCATGTACATGTAAAAAGCGAATGGAATCAAGGACGCCGTTGTCACGGGATCGTGGATCAAGACAAGGGAAGGGGTAAGCGAAGACATTCTGTTCTTACCTGCGAAGCCGGTTGTGCGCAAATGCGTCAAGACCAACGGCGAGTGGCATTCCATCGAGGACCTTCATGCGGCCCCAGCGAAATGGCAAAAGTGAAGTGAATTTTTTTACTCGTTGTTTTTAAATTTGATCCAAATTTAATTTATACAGCTTTGAATCCAGTGGAGAATGCCAGTATTATATTGAATCGAATTTTAATTTGTATTATAATTCAATATATACAAATCTCCTCATGTTTGAAACCGTTAGGGGAATATATGCACGTTAAAATTCATCATGCTTTTGTTTCGTCATATTAATTTGCCTACAAATATCAAATCATGCCAAATCGCAGTTGCTTCATATGTAAAATATAGCCCTTGAATTATATTTTCTTTCAATTATCCTTGAGTTGTTGCTGGCGTAAAGCATGCTGTACTGGAGACTCCTTGCTTCGCATCTCAGCTTATTTCGCGCTTTCAATATTTAGTCGCTTGTGCCGATCGTCAGGTGATTCAGTTGACCGTTGGCTGGCTCGCTGTGCAGCCATTCGAAGTCGATTCGTTTCCCTGCGGCGTCGCACCTTCTCCGCATCAGGAGGGAGTGTTGCATCGCTTGCTGGAGTAACATTCCGTGTCTTCGGTCCAGTCACGGCCACGTCAGTGGCGTGAGTAGTTGTGACCTGTTCAAAATCCTTGTTAACTACTTGGTGGTGTGATGATATTTGTCAATGGTTGGTATTACTTGGATGGAGTTGGATGGACCTGCTGCTCTAAGAATATCTCTATTCGGCTCAGTCACGCGCATGTCTGCGGCTGGCGTAGTTGACGCCCGTTTGGATTCCATGTTAACTGAAGCACAAGCCTATAGACTGAATATGCATTTGTCAAGTTACTTGGATCGAGTTGGATAGGGTAAGTTTTCGCCTCTTTTCGTCAGGCTGTTTGATTGGGTCCATATTTTCCTAATTTTGAAACTTAATAACTATATAATTCGATCACAAAGAACTCCTTTAATTTTATTTAACCTGTCTAACCCAATCACAGAAATACCCCCGGAGTTTGATTTGGGAGAATGACAAGAAACCTCTTAAACTTGATACGTAGGAGAATCGGCAATGACGGCTCTCGAAGGAAACACGGGGGTCGACGGACGGCACACACACGGAGCCACACAGGGAAGCCACACACGGGAGTAGATAAAAAGTAATGAGGGAAACCACACAAACACAACTTTAAGTAAGACTGTTCAAATGTGGATGATCACTACGTCAGCAACGGCACAAGCGTGGATGATTACTTGTAATTTATCGCTACCCTTGAACGATCACAGCCAAGCAGACCTATCACACACTCGATTACGAGTCTACCAGTTGCAAGTGAAATCACGAGCTTCACCGACCAGCCGAAACTGGTTGTTTGAGGGTGCAGGGGGAGAGAGCTGGACACGCAAATGCCGCAGACAAGCAAATCCAAAGTTGGGGCTATTCCGGATAAGAAGTCACTTGAACTTCCAACAATGGGACTAATCGAAAACAAGTAAGCACATACATTCTCACTACAACGTTGAACCTGATATCATTGCAAGTAAATATAGAATGCGTCTGATACAAATCACTTCACTGACAAGCTTCGAATTCACATAGCAAAACTTGAACCTGATAACTTGTTAAAGAAGACCATCATATAATCTACCAGTAGGGATTGGGCATTTTACAACGTATGAACTTCGTGAGACTCTGGTTACCCAACTGCGTGACATGCGCGAGTTGGTTGATGATACCAAGGAATTTTGGGCCTTTAGGACCGGTTGGCGCCG